ATGGTCACTAAATTCACTGAGTACACCAAGATAAAGAGGAAAGTACATTGTGAAGGAGACGTAAGGCAGTTGCAGACAGATATAGATATGTTGAGTGAGTCAGCAAAACTCTGGCATTGGAGTCTAACGTGGCAGGAGGGATAAAAAATATCAGAGTTTCACTTAAACAGAGAATAATTGCAGAAATTCAGGGAGGGATTCAGATGTGATGGTAAATGAGCCACAGAAAATTAGTCTGCAGCACAGAATCAATAATCTCACCGAGTGCAATTCCTTATTATGAGAGGAACTAAACATAAAAATAACAATACTACACTTCAGTTATACAGGGGGTTAGTGGGACCTCATCTTAAATATTGCATGCAGTTCTGGTCTCTTTATTTAAGTAATGTTGTAATTGCATTGGAGGTGGTTCAGAAGAGATTTACTAGATTGAAATCTGGAATGAGCAAGTTGTCTCATTAGGAAAGGTTGGACAGGCTGGGTTTATTTCCACTGGAGCCTAGAGGAGTGAAGGGTGACTTGATTGAAGTGTATAAGGTCCGGAATGGAATTGACAAGGTGGATCTAGAAAGAAGGTTTCCTCCTGTGGGTGTGTGCAGAACGAATGGGTACTGTTTTAAAATTGTAAAACTTGCTCAAAGGACAATTAGGGGAGGGCAAAAATTGTTGACCCTGCCAATGATGCCCACATCACATGAGTGAATAAAAAAAAATTAGGCGTTGCCGTTTGAGTCCAGAGGAAAAAAAGATAGTTTTCCTTGAGAAAATTGTAAGACTTTGGAACGCTCTGCCTCAGAAGTTGTTGGTGAATTCTTAAGGCAGAGCTGGGTAGATTCTGATAGAAAATAAAAAAACTGCGGATATAGGAAATCTGAAACGAACACCGAGAATGCTAGAGAAACTCAGCAGGTCTGGCAGTGTCTGTGGAGAAAGAAACAGAGCTAACATGTATGGAATGAGCTGCCAGAGGAAGTGCTGGAGGCTGGTAAAATTATAACATTTAAAAGGCATCTGGATGGATACACGAATGGAAAGGGTTGAGAGGGATATGGGACTTGATTTATTTAGGATATCTGGTCGGCATAGACGAGTTGGACCGAACGGTCTGTTTCCATGCTGTATGCCTTGCTATGACTCTATGAATCCAGTACGACTCTTCTTCTAAATAGAACCTTCTCACCAAAGTTGCTGCTAGATGTGCTGACTTTCTCCAGCTTCTCTCTGCGGGAAGATTGGTTTTGTTCAAGGGAATCAAAGGTTATCGGGGGGATCGATGTGAAATTTGAAACACAAACAGATCAGCCATGATCTTATTGAATGGTGGAGCCGAATGGCCTACAGCCATGTAAATGTTATGTAAGTCAGTGTAAAGTATCACAGGGAACTGCTCAGAGACTGAGGTCGAACCCATGTTCTCTAAAGGAGGAGAATATGGAGTATAATAGCGATGAGTAATATTGCCTTCAAACTTGAAGTATTTTACATTTCTTCCAATTTTTAAACTCCATCAGAGTCAGTGGTAAAGATTAAAGCACTAGATTCACTGTCATCCGTATTACATCAGGTCAACACCCAGTTTACAGCGCCAGGGACCCGGGTTCAATTCCAGCCTCGGGCAACCAACTGTGTGGAGTTTGCACATTCTCCCTGTGTCTGCGTGGGTTTCCTCCGGGTGCTCCGGTTTCCTCCCACAGTCCAAAGATGTGCAGGTTAGGTGGATTGACCGTGCTAAATTGCCCGTAGTGTTCAGAGAGGTGTAGATCACGTGGGTTATAGGGGATGGGTCTGGGTGGGATGCTCTGAGGTTCAGTGTGGACTTGTTGGGCCGAAGGGCCTGTTTCCACACTGTAGGGATTCTATGATTTCCCTGTCACTTTGAGTACTGGTACTAACAGGGGAGGGAATGGTGATTGTAGAATTTTGATAAAGTATAATTCTGTGAGTTCAGGAATCTGATGTGCGATATACATGAATAGTTGCTAGATTGAAGAATTTGGTGAAGAATCATAGCATCCCTACAGTGTGGAAGCAGACCATTTGGCCCATCGAGTCCACACTGACCCTCTGAAGAGCATCCCACCCAGACCCACCCTACCTGAGAACCCCGCATTTCCCATGGTTAATCCACCTAACTTGTACATCCCTGGACACTATGGGGCAATTTAGCACGGCCAATCCACCTAACCTGCACATCTTTGGTGGACAATGGGAAGAAACCAGAGCGCCTGGAGGAAACCCACGCAGACATGAGGAGAACATGTAAACTCCACACAGTCATCCAAGGGTGGAATCGAACCCAGGTCCCGGACGTACTAAAGCATTGGTGCTAACCACTGAGTTAAAGGTCAGGAGAAAGGGAATTCACTGTCCTATCCACACAGAGCCTTTCCGATCACTGTTTGTACTCATGGCAAGAGTGAGTTTGGAACTAAATGTTTAGTCAAAATGTAAAGAGAATGACTTTCACCACAGTGATATTTTGGAGGAGTTGAAATTCACCCTTTCCGTCATCTTGTTTTCACAGTGGGTTGTCAGGTCAAGGAGTTCCTGCCAACCCTGTCTCCTGACAAATAGGACAAAAAATACTAAAACCACTCTGACATCATATCGTGACATGCACAGACACGAGGGGCTGAACAGCCACTTTCAAGGGAATGCTGTTTTAAGATTCCATCAGGTTGATTTATACCAGGGCAATTTTGACTGAGGAATACAACCATCTTCTGCTGCTTCATCAATGACCTTCCCTCCATTATAAGGTCAGAAGTGGGGATATTCGCCAATGATTGCACAATGTTCAGCACCATTCACAGCTCCTCAGATACTGAAGCAGTCCATGTTCAAATGCAACAAGATCTGGACAATATCCAGGCTTGGGCTGACAAGTGGCAAGTGACATTCGTGCCACACAAATGCCAGGCTATGACCATCACCAATAAGAGACAATCTAACCACTACTCCTTGACATTCAATGGTGTTACCATCACTGAAACCCCCATTATCAACATCCTGGGAGTAATCATTGACCAGAATCTCAACTGGACTCACCACATAAACACAGTGACTACAAGAGCAGGCCAGTAGTTAGGAATACTGCAGCGAGTAACTCACCTCCTGACTACTAAAAGCCTGTCCACTGTCTATAACGCACAAGCCAGGAGTGTGATGGAATACTCCCCACTTGCCTGGATGGGTGCAGCCCCAACAACACTCAAGAAACTTGACACCATCCAGGACAAAGCCGCCCGCTTGATTGGCACTGAATCCATAAGCATCCACTCCCTCAGTAGCACAGTGTGTACTATCTACAAGACGCACTGCAGAAATTCACCAAAGATCCTCAGATAGTACCTTCCAAACCCACAACCACTTCCATCTAGAAGGACAAGGGCAGCAGACATATGGGAACACCACCACCTTCAAGTTCCCCTACAAGCCACTCACCATCCTGACTTGGAAATATATGCTGTTCATTCACTGTTGCTGGGTCAAAATTGTGGAATTCCCTTCCTAATGGCATTGTGGGTCAACCAACAGCTGGTGGACTGCAGCGGTTCAAGAAGGCAGCTCACCACCACCTTCTCAAGGGTAACGAGGGATGGGCGAGAAATGCTGGCCCAGTCAGCGTCGCCCACATCCCATAAATGAATAGAAAAAAATTACAGAAGCAGAAGTAGACCATTCAGCCCCTTGAGCTTGCTCAGCCATTCTAGATTATGGCTGATCATCCATCTGAATGCCACACAATTTCCGTATAGAGATATACGACACAGAAAAAGTATCCAAAACTTAATTAGTCTCATTTGCCTGCTTTTGGCTCATATCCTTCTATACCTTTCCTATCCATGCATCTGTCCAAATGTCTTTTAAATGTTATAACTGTACTCACCTCCACCACTTCCTCTGGCAGCTCATTCCATACACGCATCACTCTCTGTGTGAAAAAGTTGCCCCTTGAGTCCCTTTTAAATATTTCCCCTCTATCCTTAAACCTATGCCTCCTAGTTTTGAATTCCCCTGCCCTGGGGAAAGAACCTTCGCTATTCACCCTATCTATGACCCTCATGATTTTATAAACCTCTATAAAGTCACCCCTCAACCTCCTACACTCCAGGTAAAATAGTCCCAGCCTATCCAGCCTCTCCTTATTACCCAAACCCTCTAGTCCCAGCAACATCCTTGTAAATTTTTTCTGCACCCTTTCCAGTTTAACAACATTCTGAGGACGTTCCTCAACATTCTGAGGAAGGGTCACCGGACCCAAAACGTTAACTTTATTTTCTCCTCCACAGATGCTGCCAGACCTCCTGAGCTTTTCCAGCAACTTTGTTTTTGTTCCTGATTTACAGCATCCGCAGTTCTTTTGGTTTTTAACAATATTCTTCCTCTGGTAGGGTGACCAGAATTGTATACAGTATTCCAAAAGTGGCCTCACCAGTGTCTTAAATCTTGCAATTAGAACTTCAAAATGGCAACTCTTGGTCTATCTCCTGAACCTGCTCAATGTCTGAACTCCCTCAGCTCTATGAGGGAGAGAATTCCAAAGATTTACCAGCCTGAGTGAAGAACTTCTTCCTCACTTCAGTCTTAAATGGTTTGTCTTTGAATCTGAGGCAAGGTTGCCTGGTTCTAGACGCCAGTTAAGAGTCAACTAACTACATTGCTGTGGGTCTGGAGTCATGTATCCAGGTGAGGATAGCAGTTACCTTCCCTAAAGAGCACCTGTGAACCAGATGAGTTTTCCTGACAATCGACAATAGTTTCACGGTAATCACCATAATTCCAGATTTGAACTGAAAGTCCACCAGCGGCCGTGGCAGGATTCAAACATGGGTCCCCGGAACATTATTTCTGGATTAACAGTCTAGCGATAATACCAGTAGGCTATTGCTTCTCACTAAAGCATCAGTTATTCAGCGGACAAGTTCTGGACCCGGAACAACCTTTGTTATTTATATGAAAAATAATATTTTTCTGTCTCTCTCTCTCTCTCAAAGGTCCTTTGTGAATTCCGTAAGGTGTCTCAGTTGAAACTGGATGGATTGGAAAAACGTTATCGCAAGTTACTGCAGGAGGCTATTCAGGATGCAGTACAGCTCTCTGCCCAGAAACAGCAACTGGAGTTAGAAAAGAAACTCTTAAAACAGAGTGAGTGTTTGATAAATGGTATGATTTAGAGTGGAGGGCTTTGGAGAGGAGAGGATTGGATGGGAGGGGATTGGAAGGGAGGGGCTTGAAGTAGAGTTGATGGAACTGAATGGGAGGGTGTTGGCATGGAGGGGATAGGTGTGGAATGAAGAGGATTGGAGTGGCATGAGGGGATCGATGTGGAGAGGAGTGAAGTACAGGGATTGGAGTGGAGAGGCTTGGAGTTAAGAGGGGGAGATTGGATTTGTAGGGACAGATTTGATTGGAAGGGAGTTGAGTGAAGGAGATTAGATTTGAAGGGATGGATTAGAGTGGAGGGAATGGAGTGAGGAAGAGTTGTTGAAGCGGATTAGTGAGAGTGACTGGATGCTTATAATAAAGTCTGATCATTATTTGTGTTCCATTGCCACTGAAATGAAGACAGCTGCTCAACCAGTTTCATTTGCTATTTTGAAGTTCAATCTAAACAGTGAAGACTAATAACGACTCATGGAGAAGAGGAGGGAGGACCAGAGCTAATTCCAATGCTGTGTTTTGCATGCATTATCCAAGAGGGAGAGCACTCAGGAGGAGATGACTGCTATCTGACAATGAATCTCCTTCACCCGGAAACAGAGAAATCCCTCAGACCCATTCGAGATCCATGAGAAAAGTAGAACCCTGTTCAATGAGGACACACCTACCCCATCAATACACACACACACATACATAGATGCATGTATACATAGACACACTAACAAAGTCCTGGAATTCTAGCATGTCTGCCAAGATGCTCCATCTTCAGTCACAGTGTCCTGAGCAACTGTAGTTTTAGTTCCAGATTCTACGTGGAGAGTTTTCAAGATGGAAATAACACTGACCAGAACTAAACTAGCCCACAACCTAACCTTCCAAGCATGTGTTCTTTCCAACAGGCATCTCTGAACGATGCACAAAGTGACCCCTGTGCTAAGCAGTGACATGGCATGAGATATTCCCAATAGATTGAGTTCCTTCCTCTTGGCAATTCACTGGAGCTGGTGTTTAGGAGCTAACTCAGCACTGACTATCTGCACTCTGGCAAGTACGTCGGAAGAAAATGTGAAGATCTAATGCAGCACTAAAATTCCCAAAAAGTTTTGACAAGAATAAATACTGTAAAAAACTATTTACAATGGCAGAAGGATTGGTAACCAGAGGAGGGGTGGTGGTGTTGGTTTTGAGAGACTGTATGGATGGCTCTTCAAAGAGCTAGGACAGGTTTGATAAGTTGAATAGCCTCTACTGTTTGTTAGAGCTAGCTGTGCATGAAATAGTTGCTGTGTTTCCTCTTTTACGCGATTTAGTTGCTTGTAAAACACTTTGGGAGCTCGTGAGGTTGTGAAAGGTGCTATAGAAACTCAGGTTCATTGTTTTTCATATTTCAGAGGTATTGTGCAAATGCATGAGTGAGACAACACTGTTTTAAACTCTGGGGATGGGCTCTCATCAATTCTTAATCTTCCTAATTCCAAATGATGATGTAGTGACCATGTTTTGTCTTCATATGCAGGAATTGCTGAGCTCTGTGACCAGCTGTCTGCAACTAAACAGCAAGAGGTGACACCTCACCCAGGGGATGGGGAGACAGGCAGTCATCAAGATGAATTTCCTCAATGAGGCCGGTCAATTGACAGGTAGGACACACACAATGGACTGCCTTATGATAGTGGTCTTCGAAAAGATAAAGGCCATGTTTGTGTTATTTAAAATTGTGGACTGAAATGAGAAAAAATTGCTTTAAAACCAGTATTTTAAAGATTGCTGCATCTTTTGCAAAGCAAGTAACTTGACCCTCATGGCAAACACCATTTATACAGCTGCTTGAACAAGCAGTAATTGAAGTTAGTTTGCAGACAAACTGGAGGTGAGGGGTTGTACACAGATGCAGCTCTGGTTTGCAACAAGAAGTTAATTGGTCTTATGACAAGTTACTGATGACAAAGGCTTTTGCCTGCCAGCAGCATGTGCTTTGTTCTCAGGTAACACAGCTTGGGCCTAGGAACAAGATACAGAGAGATCAGATCTTCACCAGCTCAGGAGTGGTCTCTCTGTTCTCTGCAGTCAAAACCCACTTTCAACCTGAAGAAAACCAGTTTATCTTTCCTTTCTGCAGTTGCTGTGAACTGTGATTTTTAATTGATAATTGAGACCTTTTATAAGGGAACCAGGAAAAGGATTCAGAAAAGGAAGGCTGCGAAGTAATATCTGATCAGCAAGAGCCAACTCAACAGATCTTGGCATAAAGACTGAATCAGAGATAGTAGGAACTGCAGATATTGGAGA